TTTAGGGTTTAGGGTTTCAGGGGTAGGAGAGTCGCAAGTGGAAAGTCCCGCTTGGTTTGCTTGGATTTGGATCGAAGGTGTCGGTGGATGTCTGCCACGTGCCTCTGCCCAACCTTTACGGCACGAAGCTGGATTGAATTTGCACAGCTTTGGTTTGTTGCCAAAACCCCCTTAAACTCTCAACCCTGCACCAGTCATCTATTTCCCCAACCCATGATTCATGCATATTTTCGGGATGGACCTTTGGATGCTGTCAACGTACTTGGGAAATCTTGGGAAGATACATAGAGACACGGCGAAGTTTCAGCATCCGTTGCAGCTGTAACCCCTGGTGCGGAGAAAAAGGAAGTAACATAGAGCCTGGACGAATGCGCCTGGGACTGTCTATCCAGTAGTGATACGCTGTATGATACCCAAAACAGACCTATTCTGCTTATTCAGGCTCCGTCATCAAAGCCAGTCCCTGATGTTTGAAATCCCAAGACCCTTGCCAAGCCGGGCCAAAACCCCCCAAAACAACCTTTCTAGGGTTTAGGGCATGGGTTTTGAGGCCAGGGTCTACGGTTTTTAAAGTTTACGTACCTCCACTCGAAACACGCAGCATGAAAGCCGGTATGATCCCGATGTAGGGTGGTTTGGGGGTTGTACTATCGTTATACCAACGAACCCTCCGAAATAGTATAGGTAATCATGCAGGCCCCTACACTAAGCCGAGAAAGCTTGTGTTATCGAAGAACACCCTTGCCACAGCCTTGCACAACCCTCACAGAACCTCTGTGGCAGCCTTATCGAAGCCCTGTTATGGCAGCAACACAACCCTAAACCCTAAACCCTAAACCCTAAACCCTAAACCCTAAACCCTAAACCCTAAACCCTAAACCCTAAACCCTAACCAAGGAAGACCGTGCACTACCTGCTGTCCCTTACGGAGGATCTCGACCCACGCGTTCCTCCCATGGATCTGCAGGAGGATTCTCAGCAGAGCCGCTTCAAAGATCAGGAAGGTCCGGATGCAGTGTTCCCTAAACCCTAAACCCTAAACCCCCTAAACCCTAAAACCCTCAATTTAAGGCATTCGGGGCTTTGGGGCTGGGGATGTGGTGGGGGATTGTAGGGTCTAAGGGCCGGGCCACTTTTGAAGCTACTTTTAAGGTTTTGGGTTAAGGGTTTAGGGTTCAGGGTTTAGGCGGGTGTCCTTAAAGCAGACATGGAAGAACATCCGGATGTGGGGATGCCCGTATTTCATGCTAAACCCTAAACCCTAAACCCTCTCAGCCCCCAAACCCTTAATCCTGCGATGAATGCGTAGCCGCCGTCAGACTGCCGAGGTGTTTGGGAGGGTTTCATGGTTTGGGGTTTGGGGTCTGGGGTTTAGTAGTAGTGTCTATCCCCCTAGAGTCTAGAGTTGGTTACTTGTAGTAACATTCCGCCACAGCGCAGATCTTACTAACGATCATGCAGCGTTGCATTAATCCATCTATATCTACAACCCTAAACCCTAATCCGTTTATATCTACTAAAGCTTGGTATGGCTCCCGGCCCGGATATCAAATTAAATCCCCCCTCCATGACAAACTGCAACCCCTCTGATTCAGAGGGTTTAGGGGTTTAGGGTTTAAGTTTGAACATTACCGATCCCCATCATACGCCACGTGTTTGAGGTAATTTGCTGGATGCTTACTCTAAACCCTAAGCCCTCTGCCGAGCCGGGCAGGTGAAGTACGGTCAGCCCAGTCGGCTGCGAGCAGCGAGACCCACGTGGAAGGCCGCTCGGTAGTATACCCATAATATAGGCCAGACAGTGGTTTAGGGTTTAGGGTTTTAGGGCTTAGGGTTTAGGGCTTTAGGGTTTTAGGGTTTAGGGTTTAGGGTTTTAGGGTTTAGGGTTTTAGGGTTTAGGGTTTAGGGTTTAGCTTTTTGTGATTACCTACGAGGATCCTAAATATAAGCCACAAAAAGGAACTACTATGGGCCCTATGGGTATCTTGGGCCTCAATAGTTAGAGTAGGGTTCAATTGAGGGTTCATTGAAATGGTCTTTTTCGGGTTGCTGCAAGGGGTCTATAAACATATGGGGGCCTCAATAATTTCCTGCACAGAGTTCTAAAGGGTTACTTTGAGGGTTCCTTCGTAGAGGAGCCTCAAGAATTACCGCCCTGTTTTCGGAGGGGGGAGGTGGTATATCAGGATACAGCCATTAGTACAAGGAACCCTCAAACCCTAAACCCTAAACCGCGTTCAGGCTTCTGGACTAGTGCGCTTGGGTAAGCCTTTTGGATGTAGGGCTTTTTGCTCTTTCTGCAGAAGTTGGCCTTTAATGAGCCGTGCTTAGCCGAGCAGCGCTAAACTCCTGAAAGGTGCCAGAACGGTTTCAGAGTTTTCGGTGTAGATAGATGTTGTTGGGGCCGGTTTTAGGGTTTAGTGTTCGTGAGAACTCTAACCAGTACAGCCTTCATGCCTAAGCCCCTGGACGAGGTTTTGGTGCTGGTGCGAGCCCTGGGAAACGAAGGACCACCCTAAACCCCAAACCTTCTAAACCCTAAACCCTAAACCCCAAACCGTCTAAGGATATGATGAGCTCGCCGAGATGACTTTGCTTCTTGTCTCCGGTCTTTTGGGGTTTGGGGCTTTAGGGTGTCGCGCTAGGGGCTTCAGGGCTGAGGGTTTCGGGTTTTGGGGGTGGTTTTGAGTGTTGAAGTGTTGAGGGTTTAGGTTTTGGGGGGTTGAGTGAGGACTTCAACATAAATAGCTTTAGGCTTTCTTAAATTTGGGGGTTTTGGTTGTGGCTGCAGGCTTAGGGCTTGGCCATACGAAGGTGTTCGCAGATTGAAAACTTACTGTAGGGGATTTCGTTTCTGGGCATAGACGGTTGATCCGAACTTCGACAATTCAATCCGTCAGGACACAAGCGCAGCGAATTTTTTTCGTGCTAACGTAGAGGGTCCATAAAACTGCCATTATGGAATTGGGCCCCCAAAGGCCATCCTTATAAAGGTTTTGGGGACCTAATTCCATAATAGTAGTATGTAAGGACCCTCTGGGTAACATGGTTCGCGCTTATCCATGAGTACACTCGGTTGCTGTTGCGCCTGTGTTTGCTTCCGCTTTTGCTTACGGATCCCTCCGTTTTCGCAAAACGAAAGAACCGGAGCTTGCAGAAACTCGCTTTCGGCGGTACCTAGATGCTACATCTATCCTTTATTATGACCTAAATACCTACTATGACAATCAGGGGTCATCTACGCTTCCCTAAACCCTAAACCCTAAATTGTTACTATATGAGAGGACTGGCAGCCCTGAGCCTAAACCCGGAGAGAAAAAGGTCAGGTTACGTATAAGAAGCACGGCGCCGAATCCCTAAACCGCCAACGCCAAAACCCAAAAACCTGAACCCTACACCCCCTAAACCCAAAAACCTGAGCCCTAAACCCCCTAAACCCAAAACCCTAAACCCACCTTTCGGCTACTCCAGGCTTTTGAACTTGACCAGTGAGCTGGTTGACATCGAGGAGGCGCACTTGCGCTTCCAGCGAAAGACCAATGAGGCGTCCATGTTTCGGGTTCAGGGTTTAGGGTTTAGGGCTTCGGGTTTAGGGTTTAGGGTTTAAGGTTCAGGGTTTAGTATCAAACTACAGGATA